GTTGCTATTCTAGATACAGTAATGTCCAACTTTAAAGAGTATTTGTGGTCTTAAGCATCTAAGTGTTTTCCTTTCTTGGCCTTTATATTTTCAGTACTCAAAAATATTACGATATTTTAATGAGGTGGAGATATATAGTAAGCTTCTCCCCATTCTGTTCATTAATCTCTTCATTCTGTATTAAAAACTAAGCTAAAGAAAACAGAGCTAAAATTAGCCCAGCTAATTTCAATTATTAGTAGGTCCCTGATGTGTGTTTGGAGGGTAGTAGACTCTTTTGCCCTCTCATTTTGGACAAAGTGTCACAAGACCACAATTAACCTCTTATATACCTGAAATAGGGATAGAAGAACATGCCAGGGCTTAATGCACTGGATAGTTGACCTCAGTGACCCTCACAAGTATGCACCATGTACTTGGAATGTTCTTCTCATCCGTCATCATGCACTGGAAATTCTGACTGACCCTATTGCAGAAACTTGAGACTCCAATTCTTGACTTTTGAAAATTGCTTAATAGAATACTGGCAAGATGTTTTTGGACTCCAAAATCTAAGTTGAGTGCCATAATTAACTGACAGCAATCTTGGAATCAGTCATTTAGGGTTTCCTGATTTCTAAAGCAGTCTCATAAAATTTCTATGAAAACAAAACATAAAAAATAGGAAACCTTTTGAATAATGCAAGGTATATATTTTCGAAAGAAGAGTGAGAAAGCATAATCTGTTAAGATTGCCTCTAAACATTTTCTAGACTTAAAAGGCATGTCAATGAATAAAACCATAAATATACTTTCTTTTTTACTTGCCTAAACTTTACTGATCTCATTTCACTTGTCTTGGTTTCCCCCATCTTTCTAAAAGAGTCTCATACCTTTTGGTTTTTTGTTGTTGTTTTTTCTATTTGTTTGTTTAGGAGTGAGTATGTTTAAGAAGATTCAGGAAAGATAAGAAAAAGGCAGTGGCAGCTACACCAACGGAGGATAAAAATAGGAAAAATATTTTCCTGCTGTCATTTCCATTCCTCCTTTACTCCAGGAAAACTTCAAAGCTTTTCTTGATGAATGAACAACAAGCACTGACTTATTTTAGGGACCAGCCTGTTGTTGCTCATCAAATCTGATCATTTTGAGCACATTCTTGAGAAATTTTTGATTCAGACTCAGGATTCTGTAGTGTCCATAAAATAGTTTCATACCACTTGGAATGATTTGCTAACCATTTTGAGGGAAGGGCCATCTCAAGGTAAATTTTATTGAGCTTAATTTTCCATTCCCAAACTGGAACTCCCAGTCTGTAGCTGCTCAGCACCACATAAAAGTCAAAGTCAAAGCGTTTTAAAAACCTTCTTGTAAGTTCATTTGAAAAATGAGTTAAGAAACCTGTTAAGTTCTTTATATTATCCTGAGAAGCAGCATATAGAGGCTGCGAGCATGGGCTCTCGACTGTTTATAAGAATACTTATTGCCATAGCATAGTTAGCAATAAAGCATTGAAAATAATCTCAAATGTCTATCGGTGGTCTATCAAATTAGGATAGCTCCATACAATCAAAAGCTATACAGCTAATAAAAATTATAATGAAGATTTATGTTTTGGGGGCAAGGAGAAAAGATTACAAACTGTGTACATTATCACATTTTTGTTAAAACCAAAAAGATTGTAGATGGTTTTAGCTTTCTTTTCCTTATTTCTATATTTTCTAACTTTAAAAAGTAAGCCTATATTATATTTATTAGAAAAAGGCAATGATGCTAATTTTCATTTTGAAAAAAATCCCACAGAAGAATTGAGAAGAAAAAAGGGATTAAATAAAAATTGTGTTCCCGCAATATATTTTATTTTGTTTAAAAGCTTCCCAAGAGGATGTGAACAAAATAAGGAATACATTACCTCATTACTGCATCAAATGTCAAATTTCAATCCTTTATAGTCTTTTTCTTAAAACTAGCAGTGAGCCTTATTTAGTAAAGCCTAATGCAACTGGGCCTGGGAAGTTGGTTATTCAAGCAATAGAATACATGTAATGTGCTGGAAAGCTATTAAGTAAAAGAAACAAAATAAATTAAGGTTACTAGGCCATTTTAAGCCTGCTAGTTCCATCTTGGTGGAGATGAACTGTTACGGTGTGATAACCAGTGTTTTTATGTGAATTAAATGTGAAGACTCTAAAAGTACTTTGTAAAGTAAAAAGCCCTATCATCCTGATGCTAATCATTTTCCAAGCCTCTCAAGGGACAACAGAATAATTGTCAGGAAATAGTTACCTGCTCTCTCACCCCTTTAGCCAAATCAATATGTGAAATAAGGAGAACTTGAGGAAATGAGGGCATGTAGGTGTTGAGTAAACACTGAAGTAATTAATCATTAAATCCGTCCAACATCATTTATTAACCAGGAAGTGCTGTTACTGGGCCTCAGTTACATTTGGCAAATAATGCATTTTCAGCCAAAATAGATACTAATTCCCAGGCTTAACTAAGCCTAAATCGAGAAAAAGATGTATAGATCCTTAAGTTATCCTAATGAAAAGGAATAATAAAGTGTTAACTACAATATAAATAAAATGGAGTGTCTCCTTTGTCTTTAACCCATGGATGACCCAAAGATTATTCATTGAGTGTCAGGAGCTAACGTGAATTAGCTAATCTGAGACTTATTCAGGAAGGTTCATAGTACATTACATTACTGTGATTTACATGGAGAGACTAGTACAATACTTTCCCAGACATTGCTGTTACGGATTGTAGTTTAATTCTGAACTTTAGTTATTGAGTTATCCCAACTTTATTATTATATCTTTTTATCCAAATGATGCTTTTCTATAAAATATTTCCTAAAAGTTTTTAATTCAGGAAAAAAGCTGACAACTGAGTTTTGTTAGTGATCATGGAGAAGTAAATGGTGAATAGTAGGAATGCCATCTACTAAAGTACTGTGACTTGATAATCTCGTGTTGAGAGTGACATAGATGTTAAAGTCACCTTAAGTATTGAGGAGACTAGATATGAATGACAATATCTTGTAAACCTTAAAGTAAAGGTATGTTGTGAACAATAATGCCACATGTCAACCAACACAAGCCAGTTGACTCTGGTGCAGCCCCTCCCTTCTTTCCTCTTGGAAGTTACCCTTATAATACTTCTCATTACTTCAAATCGCCCAGTGCCTCTAACATTTGTTTTATTGTGTCCTAAATCTCAAATGCTCCAAAGTCTTTTGCATAGTGGGCTTCAATGAAATTTAATCATGATACAATTATTTGTGATTGACTGTCTCCAAAGATAGAGCATAAGCATGTCAATAAAAGGTATGGTCTCTAAAGGTTGCAAAAAGTGCAAAGGATACTGAAGCACTTTAGAAAATGAAAAGGGTATAAAATACTTTCAATTACAAAGTAGGCCATGTTTTTTGTCCACTTAGTAGTTTTAAGTTTAGCAACAAAGTCCTTATAAAATGTGAATTTGGACCTTGGGGAGAAATAGTTTCTAATGCTGGGAATAATATGTGTATATAGACATAACTCCTAAGCTTTCTGTTTATTTATTTATTTATACTTTTTGTTTTAAACTTTATTGGGGAGCAGTGTGTTTTTTCCAGAACCCATCAGCTCCAAGTCAAGTCGTTGTTTTCAATCCAGTTGTGGAGAGCGCAGCTCATTGGCCCATGTGGGAATCAAACTGGCAACCTTGGTGTTACGAGCACCGCACTCTAACCTACTGAGCCAACCAGCTGCCCAGCGGCAGCTCAGCTCCAAGTCAAGCCATTGTCTTTCACGCTAGCTCCCACGTGGGCCATGTGGGAATCAAACCGGCAATGTTGGTGTTAAGAGCCTGCTCTCTAACCACCTGAGCTAACCGGAGCCCCTGTTTATTTTTAATATATATGCACAGAACACAGACAGTTCAGGCCTACTAGTAACTATATTTTAATCTTGACTTAGAAGAAATAAGTAAAAACCATGTTCAGATATTTTTCTAATGACATTCATACAAAATTACTATAAGAGATTTCATGATACTGAAATACATACATTCAATTGAACCTAATTCTTAATACATCCCCTAGATAATGGAACAGTCTTTATTGTCCTTCTGTGTTCAGAAAGGAACTTGGAAAGTGGGTCCATTCATATCATCACGAGTCTATGTGCTAATCACTAAAGCCTATGAGTGTCCTATATAAAAAAAGTATAGTCTTTCAAGGTTATCCACACTCAAGTTCCCAAACCCAACAGATCATCAGAAATAAATTTCCTGGACCCCACTCCATGTTTTCCAAGTCAAAGACAGACAGGAAAAAAAAACCTGTTTTTAATACTAACTTCGTAACTCCAAGCAAGTTATTAGCCCCAATTTCTTAATGTAAACTGGGTTGACTATAACCCCTGTAGGGTAGAGTGATTAGTAATAAGGGCAAACATTCTAAAATGCAGTAGTTCAGCACATAAATGTGGGAGTGAATTAATTCATCCTAATTCATAGACTAAACCATAATTCTTTTGCTACAATTGGAATCCATGCATGACTGTCCCAATCTCAGTTGAAGAACCATCACTTAATCCTGTCAGAATGGAGAATCTAAATTCTTTTTGCATATTTAAAGATTGCCATTTGATTCTTTTGTTAGAATTGTGACTAAATGTAATTAAACAAACAAAATCTATCTTCATGTGGTTCAGAGAAAGTAAAATTAATTATATAAAGAAAATTATATCTATGCATGAGTGTTTTCAAAGATTCATATAGCTTCCCCAGCAGGCAGTGGTGCTCCTTTACAACTGTTAACTAAAAGTTTATATTGCTTTAGAAGTTTGCCAGGCCTAACTTCCTGCTATCTCTTCAGGTCTACAACATGGCTCTTTCTGTTAATTAACATTGCAATACATTGTAACTGCAAATGTTTAATAGCTTTTATTAGAGCGCCATATTCTACTTGTGGTTTATAGATATCATTTTGAGGAACTTGTTTTTGTTTTTTCTCTTTTAACTGTTGACCATAGGTGCGCTGAGGCTGAGGTGCTATGAGCTTTCAGAACTTCTGGAGAGACTACAAAGTTCTGGTTGTTATGGTGCCCTTAGTTGGGCTCATACACCTGGGGTGGCACAAAATCAAAAGCAGCCCTGTTTTCCAAATACCTAATAAGGACGTTTCTGAGCCAGATAGCCTGTCACTTGCAAGTCCTCAGAAGGACCACATCCAAGGGAAATAGCAGGCTTGCATTTTTCAGGTAAGTTCAGTTTAATCTTGTCAACCAGATGGTATGTTCCAACAGTGGGAAATATAATCCATAAAAAAAGCATAGAACTCTGTCGGGGGATGGGGGTTGGGTGGGAGAAAAGTCTACATTGGTAAGTTACCTGTTGATATTATTAGCCACTGGCAAAATATTATTTTATAGTTGCTTCTAGAAAAAGTCTGTTCCACAGAGACCTTTGACACTTGCCTGACTCATTTGGATGAAAAGAGAAAGTCCATTACTTGTCCTGCCCTCTTTGTGAGCAACATCGCCATGATCATGAATGTGTCCAAAGGAGCAGTTGTCTCCTTGCCATAAACCCATTTTAGAGCATACTAACCTGTAACTTGCAAAAGATTCTTTTCTTTATTATCATTCTGGTTTTTCCAAGACAAAACTAATCGTATTTATTCGTTAGTATCTAATGTTTTAGCTTCTAAATAATTTGTTACTTTTGAGTCACCAACACTTTCAGTGATTTCTTTCTGATTTTATAGCGATATTAGCCAAAAGATATGGTTACTGGTCTCACTACCACAAGACTTGCAGGTGCTAACTTCATTCTGAAATTCTACAGTGCTTGTCACTATTATGTGTTGAAAAAATTTTTTACTAGAGAAATTATTTTACTGATCATAGTTTCTGTTGTGACGTGTGTGTGTGTGTGTGTGTGTGTGTGTGTGTGAGTGAGATAACATGCAAATTCATGTATGGAAGTCACTTCACTAAGGTTTCATTTAAATGAACTTCACAGATTTTGCTAAACCTAAAATTACCACTGAAATAATATTTAAGTACCTTGGCTGTTCCTGGCATAAGATGAACAGAGATTTTTTTCTTCCTCCTGCCATAAAAAAAGATGACTATAGCTTTATTATCATCACCTTTACTTTATTTAGACCCAGTTGCTGTGGTTACAGCCCTTTAACTAAATTGTGAGGAGTAGTAAACACTCCACACACAACATTCTCTTGTTCTCTTCGCCTCTTCTTTGCATATCTTCAGATCACCTTTTTGGTCTGTGTCGTCCTGTGCCACAGTCTACTATAGGTAATACCGTAGTCTGGGTAGTTCAATTAGTTTTATTTATGCTAAATACTGTCCAGATAGCTAGCATAGTTAGTATATTCCTGAAAATAACTAATAATTGGCTGAAGCTTCACCTTCAGAGAACCAAACCTCAACAGATAAGGTCCCATGACCTGAAATTTTTATTCTTTCCATACATTATTAAAAGTTTCCCAATTTTATGCCTCAGGGCACACTGCTTATAACCTCGTTAAGGAAACTAGGACAAGTGTTAGTACACTTGGTATATAATCACATTTTATGGTATTTAGACCCTTTGAGATCGAACTGCAAATCAGATCCTAGTTTTCTCTTTGTCATCCAGCACATTTTCTAGTTTTTGTATTGGAGAGGATTAGTTGTGGGATGTCAAAACTGAAAATCATTGATCGATAGGGTAAAACTACAGAAAATTAGCTCTGACTTTAGCAAAATATTTAAAACATGATTTGCTCTTTGATGCAATGTGTTATGTAGACTTGTACAGCTAGACATAAACTGTACGTTAGAGTCTCTGCAGTAGAAATACTAACAGTTAACTTGTTTTCAAGCATGATTTGATATAAATGCACTTCTATTCAGACCTAAAGTTTCCAAGCAAACCAAAGTTATTGAAAAAAACATAACATTAGATATTGATGTAAGGGAATAAAGACATCTGGGACTTTTCTAAAGACTCACAGACCAAATTCTATGAGTTTTATAATGTAGTATTTCTCTTCTAAAAGCATATCATATTCAAATAACTACTGTAAGCTTCCTCGCTGTGTCGTTGTGCCTTCCAAAATCATTGCAATATTAGCACTTTTTCTCGGAGGGATTCACTGAGGAATAAAGGAATGAATGATTAGTCTAAGTTGATTTACATTTCTCATTTCCTGGGGGCTTGTCCCAGTTGGTAGTTTCTTTTTCTAAAGAATAAAAAAAACATTCAAATAAATTACTGAACTGCAGTCTATAAAATGCTTTGGAATTATTTCTCTAAAATGTTTCATTTTTATTTCTTATAGAAAGAAGCAGCTTTGAATCTGAGTTTGATATTGAAAGAAGAAATGAAAAACACCAGTTGGATTAAAAAGAACTGGCTTCTTGTAGCGGGGCTTTCTTTCATAGGTGTTCACCTTGGAACATACTTTATACAGAGGGCTGCAAAACAATCTGTAAAAGCTCAGTCTGGAGGCAAACAAAAGAGTATTGAAGAATGAAGTAAAATACTTGGAATTACTAATATATCATTAAATCTTTACATGCTGATTAACTTCATAAACATGGAGCTATTTAATTTTAAAGCCATAATGCTGCATATTCAGCCTTTCATACCTGAAGAATGCTATTTTCAAATGTTAAAACCCATGACTACACAATAAATAGAAAACTATGGTTAACTAAATAAAAGCTGTCTTCACAAATTACCACCTGAAGTAAGATGTCTCGTTTAGAAGCTAAAAAGCCGTCATTGTGTAAAAGTGAGCCACTGACAAGTGAGAGGGTCAGGGCCACACTTTCTGTCTTGAAAGGAATCGTAGCATCGTGCTATGGCCCTTCAGGTAGGCTGAAGCAGCTGCACAACGGCCTGGGGGGCTGTGTGTACACAACCTCACACTCGTCGGCCCTGCTTGCTAACTTGTCCGTCACCCACCCCATTTTAAAGATCCTGACAACTTCCGTGCAGAATCATGTGTCATGCTTCAGTGATTGTGGCTTATTCACAGCCATTCTTTGCTGCAACCTGATAGAAAATGTTCAGAAAACAGGCTTGATGCCCACCACTGTCATTAAATTAAATAAGCATCTTCTGAGCCTCTGCACCAGTTACCTCAAGACAGAGGCCTGTGGTTGTCGAATCCCAGTTGACTTTAGTAGTACTCAGATCCTCCTTTGTTTGGTGCGCAGTATATTAACGAGTAAACCTGCCTGTATGCTCACCAGGAAAGAAATAGACCACATAAGTACTCTGATTCTGAGAGCCTTTTTGCTTACCATTCCAGAAAACGCCGAAGACCACATCATTGTAGGAAAGAGTATAATTGTACCTTTAAAAGATCAAAGAGTTATAGATTCTACTGTATTACCTGGAATACTTATTGAAATGTTTGAAGTTCAGTTGATGAAGATACTACCTCTCAAAAAGTCAGGTTCCCTCAAGGTGGCACTCTTTCGTGCATCTTTATCTGGAGACCTTTCTGATACTGGAGAAGGAACTGTGGTGATCAGTTATGGGGTTTCTCTTGAAAATGCAGTCCTGGACCAATTGCTTAACCTAGGAAGGCAGCTAGTTAGTGATCACATAGATCTTGTTATGTGCCAAAAAGTTATACACCCATCTTTGAAACAGTTTCTCAGTATGCATCATGTTATTGCTATAGACAGAGTTGGAGTGGCTCTGATGGAACCCCTGAGTAAAGTGACAGGTAAATACACTCAGCTTTTGCCCCTTAGAGTTAATAAATCACTTTTTTTGAGCTGAGATATTCTTGGTATGCGTCACAGTTAACATCTTGAAAAATGTTAGAAGTCGCCAACCTCAGTGTATGCGAGTATCATTTCTGGCAACAAGAGTTTCTGAAAAAGAACCTATGTTCACTCATTAAAAATTGAGTGATTACGGCCATTTCCTATGTATTTTCCAGCTCCAAAATGTACTACAGAGTCTATCACAATCTAAAACTTAATCCCCAGATGTCTTAGAGTTTACTGAGAAAATGAACATCCTCATAATAAGATCTTTCACACTTTACACAAAATTCTGGAGTTTTACAAAGCTCTTACATAATTCAGAAGGTAATTTTGCAACTAGATTATCCCCTTTTCTTCACTTTTATGTAATTCCAGCAATCAACTGTACTGCCTAAATAGTGGTTCCTAATTAAGGCATGTGTGTGTGTGCTAACTTTAAATATCCCAAATATTTCCAGCAGAGCTTGAGAACCAGGATCATCTTTTATTTTCAGTGCTTACAGCAGGTTTGGTACACAGTAGGTGTTCTAAAATGTGTTGAATTGACTAACATATTAACATGCAGAATTATAATAGGCAAAAAATTATTGTGTTGTCGGAAAAGTCATGACGCGTGTTTGCAACAAATGGCACTAGTTCATATTTGGAAGTACTAAAGTCATTTGCATCTATGCTATTGCTATGTCATTTGACTGCTGACAGTTTGAGCTTCATTCTAAAAAAAAGTGAGCGATTTGGTTGAGTTTTGGAGATTTTACAAGTTGAAGATGGAAGACCAAATTGCATTTTTGGCATATTTTACTGTTTTACTTCCATATAGGGAAGAACGTGCGTCAAGCTTGTGAAAAGTTGCATAAAGTTTATGGTGACAGTGCTCAATAAGAACATGGGTCATGAAATTCCGTGCTGGTGATTTTTATCTCAATGATACTCCTCGGTTAGGGAGGCCCACCGAGGTTGATGACGACAAAATAAAGGCAGTGATCAAGTCAAACCCATGTTACATGACACGAGAGATTGCAGAAACATTGAACATCCATCGTTCAAGCCTTCACGACCACCTGAAGAAGCTGGGATACGTAAGCAAGCTCGACATTTGGGTTCCGCATGAACTCAAAGAAGTTCATTGGAAGGCACGTATAACATCTGCAATATGCTCATTAAACGTGAGGAAAACGATCCTTTTTTGAAGTGTCTGATAACTGGTGATGAGAAGTGATTGTTTACAACAATGTGGTGCGCAAATGGTCTTGGTCCCGAAGTGATGATTCGCCTCAAATGACATCGAAAGCAGACATTCATCAGAGGAAGGTTATGCTTTCAGTGTGGTGGGATTTTAAAGGTGTCGTGTTTTTCGAGCTCCTACCAAGAAACCAAACGATTCGAATGTGTACTTTTGGCATTTGGACAGTTTGAACGAATCCATCATCCAGAAACGTCCAGAGCTTGTTAATTATAAAGCAGTTGTGTTCCATTACGACAACGCGAGACCACACACAAGTTTGATCACCTGTCAAAAATTATTGGAGTTTGGATGGGATGTGTTGCCACACCCACCATCTCACCTGACCTTGCACCATCAGACTTCCCCTTGTTTCACTCTCTTCAAAACTCCTTGCGTGGTATAACGTTCAATTCAGATGAGGCTGTAAACCAGCACCTTGTTCAGTTTTTCACAAATAAAGACAGGTCCTTCTATGAANCTTGTTCAGTTTTTCACAAATAAAGACAGGTCCTTCTATGAACGAGGAATTATGAAGCTCACTGAAAGATGGCAAAAGGTTATTGAACAAAACGGGCAATATATCATTGATTGATCTTTGTACTTTATACAAATAAATGACCTTTGAAAAACATAGACAAAATACATCATGACTTTTCCGACAGCCCAATATTTTGCAAACTCAGCAAATTAAAGCAGATATAAGGTTGATATTTAACTATTAGAGCCCAAAGAAAAATGACAAATTGAAGAGTTCTGGTTTGAGCCACTTTTCAATATCCTGTTAACAGCACTATCAGAAAGACGACCATTTCATTCTGATAGATTGTAATTTTTAAATTATTAGATATAAACCATTGTTAAAGTTCACTAAGCTTACTCTTATTACAAATCATAAAAAAGGAGTAACATGTATGTCAAGTATTGAATGCATACTATCTGGATTACTGCCCTCTGTAAGACTCATGATTTGTCAAGGAGGAAATTATTAAATAATGGAAATAGTTCTTTAGAAATCATTGTTGATGTGGATCAGACTCACACCTTTAAATATTTACTGGCTTTTCATGAATCAGGTCATTTTTAGTTGTGAATATTAGATATTACAGGTTATGTAGTCAGTATGAAGCATTTTCCCATAGAAACAATATTGTAAGTGGATGCTGGGTTTCCACACCAGCCCACAATTTATCCCATATGTAATTAGAACATAGTATTAATAGCCAGAGCTTTAGTCCTAGATCTTGGGATAAGATTGTGATAAAAGATCTTTGGAGACAAAAAGAAAGGGCAATATATATATTGCATATATACAGTAGTCCTTTTTCTTCTGATTGTGTATTATCTCCATTCCTCTCTACAAACTCAGACCTTTACCCCCCTTTTATGTTGTTGTTATCACAAATTAACCCTTTTAATGCTGTGAGTTAATTTCCAAATTACAGTTGCTATTGTCTTCTCTTTTTTCAAGAAAAAAATTTTTACCTCTTTAATCTTTATGTATTTAAGTGTAAAAAATACCCTATTCTGCATAAGATTTGCAATTTCCTGTTTCTGTCTGAGTCACCTTACTCAAGGCTTTGTATTCTTGTCTCTTTGTTTCAGGTAGAATAACCCCCTTCTATTTCCTGTAATGCAGGCCTTGTGGTAAATTACCTCAGCTTCTGTATGTCTGTAAAAGTCTTTATTTCTCTTTTATATCTAAATGATTATATGTTACTCATGGCTGGTGATTTTTCTCTTTCAGTAGTTTGAATATTTGATTCCACTATCTCCCAGCTTAAATGGCTTCTGCTGAAAAATCCAATGATAATATGATGGGATTTCCTTTATAGGTTACTGTCTTCTTTTACCTGGATGCCTTGAGAATTCTGTCATTAATTTTTGACAGTTTTAATATAATGTGCCTTCGAGAAGGCTTCTTGAGATTGAAATAATTAGGTGTGCTGTTTGCTTCATGTATATCTATATCTATCCATCCATCCATCATACACACACACACACACACACACACACACACACACACACACACACACGCGCGCACACACACACACATACCCAGACCCATGGCTCAAGTAAACTAAGAATAGCTGAACTATGTTTTGGGCCTAATTCACCTCCCGGGGTATATCTAGGTTAACATTACTTCCTTTCTCCCCCTTCAAACAAAATGTATTGATGATTTGGGTTAAATAGTGGAGTTATTCATTGTACATGGGCAACGTCTGTGTGAAGTTTGTCATGGTAAAGTAGGATATTCAAAGAAGTGAAATTGCTCAGTGATTATTTTCTGGGTTCTTACGAACTTTTTGAGCTGGAAGTGTTTATAGACATTATTGTTTTAACCCCATTGGTTTCAAAGAGGAAACTGGTCCACAAGAGTGCATTGTTCACTTACAGTTTTAGTGTTAAGACTTTAAACTAGCATTGTTATTTCTTATAGAAGTTCTATGTAGTTACTTTTCTTACATAACTTCCACTACATTTTAGATTTTGGAAACCTTCCAGTCAGTCATCCTAACTTCTCATTTATTCTATTTTTATTTGTGTTTTATAAAATTGTACTATTTTACTTGTGCTGGAAGGAGGGCAAAATACTTACATATCAAAGAATAACAAAATAAAATAAGAATGTTACATACTTTATTTTGGCATAATTGAAGTAGCTAGGTAGCTATTTACATACAAACAGTTGCCAGGCAAAAAAAAAAAAAAAGAGAAAGAGAGAGAGAAAACCTATTTGTTCACTAAATAGAGCCCCAAAATAACTATTTGTATAGCCTAATTTGTGAGTCTTAAGGTAGAGATAATAATGCCTTTTAAAAACTTTTAAGTGTCCTCTCACTTCACTCTTATTCCAGATTAGCGGGGTTCATAATTTTGCATCTCTAATCCTTGAATGGGCTTTCAGAATTCCTGGACTTCCAGAAAATGTATTCAGTTTTATGCACCTTTTTTAGAGACTACAAAATAGCTTTTGAAAAATGTTCCAAGAAGTCACTAAACTAAAAGAACATTTGCTTTACTTTTATTTACATATCATTTAATAGCAGAATACTACTTATTTTAAAGGTTTAAGAAGATGCATCTTGTTATTTCTTTGTCCTATATTTCATATTTTAAATTATATGCTTTGGGGACTTTTATATTGGCTAGGAATAAATATTATAATTTTAAATGATTGTATTCTCCATCTTTATTCATACATTTTGTGTTTTCTAAAATTTAAAAAATAGGAACACAGCCTATTGGGTCCCTTGGCTCAATCTCTCCTAGTAGCTATGGAAGTCTCAAAGATTTGTGCACTGCAAAATTTGGCTTCAAACATTTTTTTCATCTTATTCCTAATGAAACAACTATGTGCAGCTTGCTTCTCTGCAACAGAAATGACACTGCCTGGGATGAGTTGAAGGTAGGTAATGAACTTTGTCTTCCATATCTAGGGGCTGAGGCAGGGATTAAAGTCATTCAGAAAGGTATTAAAATTGTTTCACATTCGTGAGCTATGCTTTTTATTTTCATAACTCCCCAAAGTGGTATGGAAAGCAAAACCAACAAAAATGAAGAATTTAAGTCACAAGTGGACACTACCGTGACCTGGCATGTGTTACCATTTATTATTTCTAGTATTTACAAGCAAACTATAGATCCTTAACATAGGAACTTTTCTTAAGAAATTAACTTGAACTGTGTCTTCTTTGATGCTAACATGTAGAGTGATTCACTTAGATAATGAGTTACCCAGATATATCCATCATCCACCTCTTAATAGAGTTTGTTGTTCTCTACCAGCATTAGCACACGCTACTTTTATGTAAGGGAAGCGATAACCTGTGGTATTGGTCACAAGCTTGAAGATTCATGTATGCTCAAGGGTATATCCTTGGCAAATATTAAAGGTCTGTGTATTTTTTTTTTTTACTGTTGGGTTATAGCTGTATTATCATTTCCATAGCAGCTTGAAATAAATTTTATATTACTTATTCAGCTAATGTATTTAGACTGAAATAATTTTTTACTAGAGATACTAACAATCTTTGCTGACCCAGTTATTTTGAGGCCATTCATTTGTGAATCTCAATTTGTGTATCAAAGTATTTATGAAAAGATATTATATCTGGTCCATGAAAACAAGCATCTTGCTAAAGTATTTTTCTTTAATCTATTTTTTGTTTATTCCAAAATGTATTCATCACATTACAACCTTGGAAACACAGGTTTTGTTCTTTTGCAATTAAAATCAGGCTCTTTGAGTTTGCTATCTAAGTTGCTTTCAGACCATGGCTATATTTCTTTGTGTATGTGATGTTACTGTCTGATTCTGATGATTTATTTCTTTTGTAGCTCACATGTCAAACAGCACTGCATGTCTTGCAGTTAACAATCAAGGAACCATGTGTTTTATTGGGAGGTGGTTGTACTGAAACTCACTTGGCAGCATATATCAGACACAAGGTAGGTTCGATAGTCCTTAGACTATTTGAGTTCTCAGCAGTATTCACTTTCTAAGATGATAAACCAGCATAACACCCTGGAGCCTTTAATCTTTAATTTCTCAGTAGTCTAAATCATATATTGTATTGGAAAACATTTGAGGAAAATAACACTGACAAATATAAGGTAATATCTTTATCACAATGATTATTATTAATCCAACCTTTTACCAAATGATCACTCTTTGAGTATTGTCTAAATATTGCATGTTGAAATGAGCATTTTGTTAATGATAGTTTTCATATCAGAGATCTCCGCTGCTGAAGTACAATAATAACTGATATCACAAGGACTGTGTCTAGATTCTACAGAATACCTCAGTTCCTTCTGTATCATCAAGAAAGACTTAATTTCATTTATTAAAGGATTTCACATGTTAGATTTTATTATGATTTTAAAATTGATATCTATGTGACATTTTATTTTTATCAAGTAGAATATTTTTTATTAATCTAGGAAACTATTCCCTGACAATAGTCAGATAAATTTAGTGCATTATAGTTTTGATTAATTATTTCATAAATATTGACTTACTTTATTTGAAAGTGGATAAACAAAGATATGTGTTTTCCAGATATTTGCAGTTTATTCTTTGGTTAGTCAGGAGTGATATCAAGAGACTGCATAGTTTCTAGTGGATGACTGGGATTGGAGAGAATATAAGTTTTTTTTATAAAAATGCCCCTCTTTGCTTCCTCAAATAATTTAAAATCTATTTGATGATCAGCCCATTCATGAAAAGTTATAAGAATATCCATTATGAAAAACAAAGTCAGTGCCAACCTATGGATACTGAATGGACAATAATCTGCAAATGGGACTGAGTAAACTAGAAAAAGTTTTTGGAGGAGGAAGGTATATTGAGTAGGATTTTGAAGAAACAGCACAGCACTGACAATACGGGAAAAGAATATGTTTTAGAGACGATCTCATCTGGTTCAAACCTCCTGGGCAAAAAAAATGGTCGCTGTTTTTAAGTAGTTAGGGTATAGGTTTTTAACTATCATTCAGTTACTAGTTTGCTAATATATTAATTTTTTCTATCATGAAATTTCTATGATAAACTTTTTAGAATGGTAACAGCAAAAAACAGTTTAAAGTCATATGATCTTTTCATTAATTTGAAGAGAAATGTCTTTAAAAAACATTGATGTGAAAATTGCATGCATCCCTAAATGGTTTTGTCTTAATAATAATACATGTGTTATCATTTTAAACAAATCTCAAACATTTTGCTAAGTATAAATAAGTACTTCATTTGAACATTAGTCTTCAGGAACTTCCTCCTATCTGTATAAAAGCCTGTAATACATGTATTATGCCTCGTTCTTCATATATTAAGGAGGCACTACTGGGCAGTCACGCGAATAATTTTATGGTGGGGTTTATTCTGATTCATTCATTCTGATAACATGACTGGTAGCATACAGCTTTATATAACCAACCAGGTTAAGGGCCTCTCGTCTGGCCAGCAGACTCATATATACCCATTAGCCTTGTGCCAAACCCCTGTGTAAATGGAAAGTAAGTAGTAACTACAAACAAGGGTTTGATCAAGTAGTCTATTTTTTCAGAAACATTTTAAAAGCATTAATTGGTCTATATGTGTTTTCAATGGTTTCATTACTCTTTAGACTTTTAATGAGCCGGAAAGCATTCCCCAAGATGATGGATATACTCAAACAGAACTCCAACTAATTACTGAAGCATTTTGCAGTGCACTAGAATCAATTGCTGCCTCTTTAGAACATGATGGAGGTGAAATTCTCACTGACATGAAGTATGGACACTCTTGGTCAGTGCAGGCAGATTCTCCCTCTGTTGCTAACTGGCCAGATTTGCTTTCAAGATGTGGCTGTGGACTATACAATAGCCAGGAAGAACTCGACTGGTCTTTCTTAAGGAGTACTCGGCAACCTTTTCCACCACAAGCCTGCCTTCCATGTGGAGCTGTGGGCTCAGCCAACAACCTGACTTTGGACTGTTTCACTGCTAAACTTAGTGGCCTGCAGGGGGCTGTGGAGACAGCCAATTTGATTTTGGATATTTCATATGTCATTGAAGATAAAAACTGATGTAAGAGAATAGCAGGTTTATATTATAAAAAAAGAAAAAATTGTCAGGTGTCAATTAAGAAAAATATTGAGCGTGTTTGTTCTCTCCCAAAGGCCTATTCTGCATATCTAAATACATGATTCACAAAATTATAGATTTGCTTGTATAAGGAAAAAAGGTATTATTCTTAAATAGAAATACCATAGAATAATAAAATTATGAAGCATTATTAATCATATCGTAGTTATCTTAGGGATTCCACTGATACCACTGTATGTTGCTGTAAATTTTTGTTATTTTGACATCATTCTAAGAACATTCAGAAATTTTTTAAAAATCATAATCTATGCTTTAGTTCATATATGCTTTTATATTTTTAATTAGTAGTAATTGCATATGTTTACAGTGTAAAATTAGATTCCAAAGTATCAACAAAACACCTAGTACATATTGCTCAATTAAAAGAAGTACCTAAACTGCACATTTAGTAAAATTCAGTGTTCTTTATCTGAAACAATATTTATTCAGTGTTTAGGTAGTTGATGTAGAACCTGGTCTACCTGCAAATACTAGTTCATATCACAGTTCTTCACCTGTGTTATTTTGATGAAATGTGTGATTAGGAAAATAGATTTTTTTCTAAGCAGTATAGTGAAAAGAAGTGGAAAAGCTATTTCTCTAGTTCAGTCATAGTGCGAAAAAGAAACTAGAATAGCTTCATAGTCAAATTAGAGACACTGATGTTTCACTAAAGAATGTAATTTGAATTTTATGCAAATACGAGGGGTAGTGATAAATTGAAGAAGAATTTAGAAGAAAACAGAGTGCAGCTAAAGGTATAAGCATGGAGTTGTAACAGATGCCTATATTAACCTTTAGGAAAACATTTTGAAAAATTTTGGAAAATTAAACAACCTGAGAGTCAATGATCAGATCTACAACCACAATAGCAGGAGATAGAATTTTTAAGCAATTTCTTCCAACAATCTTGCATTCCAAAAGAATTTTTACTGTGAGCCAAAATAAAAATTGCAGTACAGACTCACATCAATGCAATATATATTGCAAGCTTCATAAAATATTTCTCTAAAATCTTATTCCTTTTATCATTAGAGTCAAATAGACGGCGACTGTGGTGGGCAGCCTCTAAGATGGCCCCTCAGTGATCCTGCCTCCTGGTTTTCTGACCCTTGCATGATCCCCTCCCCTTGGGTGCAGGCTGGATGTATGACTCATTTGAGTCTCCATTTCCCCCTTTGTGAACCCGAATGTCTTCTTGAGGTTATTCATGCCTGATCCATCATTGTATGTTGGGAGTGGAAGACAGATAACGGTCTCATCAACTTCATGGGTCTTCAGATGGAGAGAACTGTGCTTCAGAAGCTGTACTTAAGGAATTACACCTGGGGAGCTTCACTCACCCTGATCTGATTTCGGTAGTAAGATTCAGTGATAGACTTCAAGTTGATGTTGCAATACAATGAGACTTGGGAATCTGAGGAAGGTGTACATGTATTTTGCATGTAGCCTGTAAGATGGCTCCCAATGATCACACCTTGTGGTAGTCCACCCTTTGGGTGTGGTTGGGACCTAATGACTAGCTTTTAATGAGTAGAATACAGCAGAAATGATGGGATGTCACTTCTGATGTTAGGATGGTCTTCTCACTTGATCTCTCACTTGTTCGCTCTGATGGAGGCCAGCTGCCAGGTTGAGAACTGCCCTATGGAGAGGCCCACATGTAGCAAGGGACTAAGGAAGGCTTGTAGCCAACAGCCCCCGTGAAATTGAATCATACCATAGAGTAAATCTGGAAGCAGATCCTCCCTAGTGGAACCTAAGGATGAGTGTCGCCCCTGCCAACGCAGCCACCTGAGAGGCCCTGAAGCAGAGGATCTAGATAAGCCACTCCTGGATTGATTCCTGACCCAGAAAATCTGTGAGATAATAAATTTTAAGTCAAGTTTTGGGTGTAATTTGTTATGCAGCAATAGACATCTAATAAAGCTAGGAATAAAAGCTTATTTATAATTATATCCTGAAAGCTTGGTCACATATTGGAAAAAAGCATCCTCGATGCCATGATTTTGCATTTGCACCATCACTTCCAACATAAAGGCAGTATTCTTCATCACACATGTTTACAGTGAGGGTTTTACATTCACTTAAGAAGGTGTGTCACATAATATGGGCATTGTCCTGGGTCTCCTTGACCCTCTACTGTGTTTCCAAGTTGCTCCCTGAAGAGATGCCACAGTGAACCTCTTCAATTCATCTTCTCTGTTCAGGACCTCCGCTTCTCGTGCTAGCCATTTTTAGCTCTGTCATTTTTAGCTTTGCCATAAAATTCAATTACATTCCTTGGTGGAACATCATTGCTGTCATTTTGAATGTGTCATAAATTTGAAATTTTTAATAAATTTGTTTTCTGAAGTTGTGTACATTTCTTACCAGAAAATACTGTAAATAATTAAAAAAAAAACTTCCTTTATGGATCAAGAAAATCATTATTCAAACTTAGATGTTAAAATATGAGATGAAAAATATTGACAAAAATAATTTCAAAGGAAATCCTTTTAACAGAAATAAATGATAGAAAACAGAAACAAAGTTAAGCCTCAGGCACTGTTTTGTGACTTAAAGTAAGATTGAGGTCTGAATATTGCATTATGAGGTTCCTCGGAAGACAGAACAGAAAACCCTGATAGCTACAAAAAAAAAAAAAAAGAAAGAAAGAAAAAGAAAATAACAGAAGAAACATAAAGTCAGAGACAGCTGCTCATTACTTTTGTGGGATGCACAGGACATGTACCATTAAAGGTTACTGAACCATAGGAATTCAACAGGATTAGCATCTTATTAATCAAAAGAGGTTAGGATTTTGGCAGCATGGAAAAAATTGGAGAACTAACACAACTTAAAAGAGCCTTTCAAGTCAAAATACTTATTTGGTTTTATAAATACCCCAATTCGTTAAATCTTTCATTTGTACTATATTGGAGAATCTTTATATGTTAGACATATTTAAATCAACTATTAGGGTGAAATATTTTGCACAGGATATTTAAATTACATATTAGTATCTTTTATTATCATGGGTATTCTTGAACTCATTTATTTGTATAATCAAAGTTATTTAGGCATTCACATGATATAAGAGAAATTTTAAGTACCTCTATAAGATCCATCATATTCTGTATTCTTACATTGTTGAATTGTTCTTTGGATAACTTAAAATAAACCAATGTTGTTTGCAGTCATATAAATTATGCAGGTTATTATTTAAGAATATCAAGTACAAAAATCACTCTCATCATCAATGCAGGCCCTGTCAAAACATCGAATTAGTTAGGTTATTCCTTTCTGATAATCTGGGAAATAGTCAGGGAGACTAAACATCTCGTACAGGTCCCTGTTTCAGCTATCTAAATAGATCTATCCCTTAATCTGAAGGAAAAGGCAAGTTTGAAAATCTGATATCGTTATAATTTTTTTTTCATGTAGTTAAATGTTTCCACTTAGTAACCGTGGTGTCCCATAATCCTTGGAAATTTTTGCCACTCACCTACAAAATTTGAATTTAGAAGTACCTAACCCAATGTTAGTATTTTAGGATTACAAGTAGATTTATTTGCTTCTTTATTAAGAATATAGGGGCCAGCTGAGTGGCTCAAATGGTTAAGAGCTCAAGCTCTGAGCAACAGAGTCGTTGGTTCGATTCCCACATGGGCCAGTGAGCTGCGCCTGAGCTGAGCTGCCACTGGGCTGCCAACAGGTGGCAGGATGGCTCAGCTGGTGAAAGCACGTGCTCCTAACAACAAGATTGCTGGTTCGACTCCCACATGGGATGGTGGGCTATGCCCACCCGCAACTAAGATTGAACACGGCACCTTGAGCTGAGCATCCGGGAGCTACCACAGGCAGCCAGATGGTGACTAGACCTGGAGCTAAGCTAGCTGCACCCTCCATAACTAAGATTGAAGAACAACAACTTGGCTGTTCCCCTTTCCCAATCCCGCCCCCCCACCAAAAGAATACGGTAATACTCATATAAGAGAATGCAATCTCTGAAAATTATTCCTATATGTAGCTCTAGCCTTGAACAGATAAGTTGTAGACTAGGTACGCTAAAAGCAATGGAATACCAATACCTGTAATAAATTGGGACTTAAGAGGGAAAGGAAGCAACTCCTATTAAAAATTCACATTGAGGAAATCTTTACAATAAACATCCGATTTTAGTCCTGTAGCTTTTGTTTAAAATATTGTGATTTCATTTTGAGAAGTGTTAATTGACCTCTTTTTGTTTGCCAGATGCAGTAGTTAATGGTTAAAAAAACAAGATTTATTCACAGTCCCTGACCTCAAGGAACTGACCATCTAGCCAGTAAAACGTATATTTTTAACATTACTTTTCTAAAAAGTAATTTCATAAAATAATTATCAACATTGTGTTGTAATAGAAAATTTGGAAAACACACAAACATAAACACACAAAAGGAAAATAAAGTCAAATGTCATCCCACTACCCAGAGATAATCACTGTTTACATTTTATATGTATCTTTTCAGTTTGTTTTCTGTATATACTTTTTCAGAAATATGATCATACCGTATGTTGCTTTATAAATTTTTTTTACAAAATATGTCATGAACATCATAAACATGTACTCCTACATCATGTGTAATGCCTGAAGAAATTTCAATTGTAGAGATTATACCATAATTTATTCAATGAACTTGTATTAGAAATCTCTTAGGCAATTTTCAATTTTTGTATTAATATACAAAAGGATATCTATATATCTATATATCTACATATCTATCATCTATCTATCTATCTATCTATATATATATATATATATATATATATATATATATCTCCTTTCCCCACATCTTTTATTATTTTCTCAGGATGGATAAATAGAATTAAGATTTCTGAGTCCAAGTGTATTTTAAAATGGAAAGGCTATTAATATATATCATCTAATTGTCTTCCAGAAATTTAGCATCAATATACTCTGACCACAGTGTGTGAAAGTGTTCATTTTCCTGAACTTTTGCCAACATTAGTTATTGTCTTTGCCAATTTAATAGCCAAAAATAGACTTCATATTTTCATTTTTAAAATTAGTAATAAGGTAGATACCTTTTTATAAGCTATTGGCCATGTATTCCTTATTTAGTTAAATACTTCTAATTGGCCTTCAACTTTTCTATCAGAAGTTCATCTTTCTAATATACATTTATATTTTAATATTTATTTTTTCATATCCATTATTAAATATATGTACATATTAGAGAGGTGAATTTTTAAAGCAAATGCATACTTCTTTCCATGGCCTCAATTTTCTAACTAGCTTTCTCTGTCCAAACCAAACATAGTACTTTCTTAATGGTACAATTCTACACATTTCTTTTGATTTCCACTCATAAGCAGCTGCAAAACACCCAAGTAGTATGATGAATTTAAAATAGTAGACAAACTATTGCCCCTAAATTTTTACTATCATCTAACTCTTTAATAAAGCATCTGTGAAATGGGATGGTGTATTAGTTTGCTAGGGCTGCCATAACAAATTACCATATACTTCATGGCTTAAAACAACATAAAGTTATTTTCTCACAGTTCTGAAAGCTGAAAGTCTGAAATCGAGGTGTTGTCAGGGCAACATTGCCTACAGAGTCACTAGGTGACAATCATTTCTTGCCTCTTTCAGTTTCTGGTGGCTATTGGTAATCCTCGGCATTCCTTGGTTTAGAGACAAGTCATTCGAATCTCTGCCTCTGTCTTCACATGGCCTCCCCCCACCCCACTCTGTCTCTCAAATCTCCCTCTCTATAAGGACACCAGTCATTGGATTTAGGGTCCATCCACTCTAAACTCAGGATGATTTCATCCCAAAATCCATCTGCAAAGAGCCTATTTTCTAATAAGATCACATTCACAGGTATAGGGCATAGGATTTAGACATATCTTTTGGGGGTACCATTTAACTCACTACAAATAGTAAAAAGCTGCCAAAATATAACTCCTCCTTTCCCTTGGGTTATCACTGCACAGAAAGTAAAGTATGCCCAGCTTGGACAAAAGGAACCAATACCGGATTTTATTACCAAACATTTCAAATAACTTTTCCATTTATTGTTCTTTAATTATAATCAAAATGCAATTTCTTTTCCCCCTTTTTTCCTTAAATCACACCACACCTAACATTCTCTATTTCCCTTATCTACCTGCATCATCTTTATTCTCACTCTCCTGCCTGAGGTGTCACATGTAGATTACCCTCTGGACGTTGTTCCATATCTTCTCTATGCTCGTGTAATTTACACACAAACATATATAGAAAAAATTGTTACATTGCTTTTGTAAAAAAAAATAAGATCATTTTCAATGGAATAGGATAGAGAGCCCAGAAATAAATCCATGCCTGTTTGGTCATTTAATCTATGACAAAGGAGGCAAGAATATACACTGGGGTAAAGACAGTCTATTTAATATGTGCTGGGAAAACTGGATAGACACATGCAAAACGATGACTGTGGACCACCTCCTTACACCATACACAAAAATAAATTCAAAGTGGATGAAAGACTTAAATGTAAGACCCGAAACCATAAAACTCCTGGAAGAAAATATAGGAAGTAAATTTGTAGACATTACCCTTAGTAATGTTTTTACTGATATATTCCCTCAGGCAAGGAAAGCAAAAAAAAAACAAAAACAAAAACCAAAAAAAAAAGTGGGATTACATCAAACTAAAACTTTTTTTTCATAACAAAGGAAACCAGTAAAACAAAAAGGCACCCTACTGAATGGAAGAAGATATTTGCCAACGATACATATGCTAAGGGGTTAATATCCAAAATTTATTTAAAAATTTCTACAACTCAACACCAAAAAACCCAAAAAACCCAATTAAAAAATGGGCAGAGGACATGAAAAGACATTTCTCTAAAGAGGATATACAGATAGTCAACAGACATATGAAAAAATGCTCAACTTCACGAATCATTAGAAAAATGCAAATAAAAACCACAGTGAGATACCACCTCACTCCAGTCAGAATGGCTATCATCAATAAATGAACAAACAAGTGTTGACGAGGTTGTGGAGAAAAGGGAACCCTCATGCACTGTTGGTGTGATTGCAAATTGGTGCAGCCACTATGGAAAACAGTATGGAGGTTCCTCAAAAATTTAATTACCTTATGATCCAGCAATTCCACTTCTAGGTATCTATCCAAAGAAATCCAAAACACTAATTCAAAAAAATATACTCGTATGCATCCCTATGTTCACTGCAGCATAATTTACAAAAGCCAATATAGGGAAGCAACCTAAGTGTCCATCAGTAGATGACATTTTGGTATCACAAGAAAGCAGCAATAATTCATATATGAGTAAGTCCTAACGATTCAATATTAGAAAAGCTTTATTCTCTTAATTATTGAATGCCATGTTAACTCTCTCACATTTGTGATAGTATCTTTGACATGAAAATATAGAGCATGCATTTAAATTTCTGCCTCTAAGTGCTTTTATAATGTCTGAAGTTCAAAACATTTCTGATCATTTTGGCTCCTTCACGTGAAAATAAACATTGAAAAGTGGAGTCATGATTGAGAAATCTTCAAAAGGTCTTAAAATGATTAGGCTCTCAAGTGAACAGAATTTTATTTTGTTTTGCACCTATTGATTGGAAAATGGAAATGTGAAAGGGGA